ATGCACCATGCGTTCACTTAGTCCTGGTAATAGTCGAATGCTGACTTTAAGACCCTTAGGATAACCAGTAATTTTAAGCTAACCGTCTCTGACACGAGACGATTTATACTTCGCGCCCAACTCAAAATTGGAAAGGACCTTGTGACAGCCGTTTGTCATATTTCCGTTTATACACAACTTTTCATAGTTGTTCTATTTATAAGGTATGGCAAGGATAGAGTGAACGCCCCCAAGTTTCTACGGCATACAGAGGATGCCTACTATACATACTGACACAGGTCGTTTATTATTCGTCACTCATCTAAACATGGAGTTTTCATTCGGACGTCGCACAACCTACCATGGCCTTGGCTCAGAGAGTTTAGAAGCGATCACCATTCGTTTATTCCTTTATCTCGAACGTTGCTTTCCGCCATGCCAATACTTACTGCTGGTTGTGGTGGTTGACGACGTTACATTGTTAACCCTCGGATGGGAGGTGACTGTACGCCTTCCCTCATCCCCCGCCGACCATTTGATTATGAATTCGAAAGACTGGCCAGCTACTGTCATTCACCTGCCCGAATAAGACCTACCGGCATCTGGTATCATGCATTCCCTCCAGGCCTTACCAACGTTGTATTTACGCCGTCTTATTAGCGTTTTGTCCACTCGTACCAATCTTCTCAGTTTCCTTCTTGAGAGCGGTGGAGCACACATTCCGAAATAGTGCGTACCATACAAAATCTGCTGTGTGAGACACGCTAATATGTTTTCACAATCTATCAATCGTATACCCTTTAGAAAGGGCAGTCGTACCTTCATGCCTGTCTTGATCGTCGTCCGGCTGTTCTCGAATATAGAACCGGATCTCAGAGACTCCCTTTTTCGACACCGGATACATCTGAATACACATTCATCTGAGTGGCGCCGTCGGCCTTGCTGTTTAATTTGGTGCCTGCATTTGCTTTTTACGGCAGTCCACAGAAGTCGTATCGTCTAGCATTAATTCACCACCTTTTTTCGAATTTATTTTCTCTGATATTTCTTTGGTTTTACTTTCAGAATGTGGCTGATTTCGAACAGTTATTTTGGCTTTCGCTTCCAATGACTTGCGATATTGAGAAAAGCGCCAGATAACGCCTTTGGATCTTTGGTGGCTTCGAATTATCTACGGAAACATTTTATATCTACTACATTCCTTGACTAAGGCCATACAGAACAACCAAAACAGTTTGCTTACTACTTATGCATTTCGATTTCCAATATAAGAGCCGAATCGTTCAGATTTCTTTAGCATGGCGTTTAATGACATTGTAATACGATGCACTAAATTTCAGTGCAATCGGCTGCCGCACGTCTTTCCAGCCATTCTCAATGGACGGACTAGCCTTGATTACCTGCTCCTGAACAAATTATTGGCGGCTTACTTAAATTGGCTTGTTTACTAAACGCCATATCCCGTTTATTCTTTTCATTGTCCCGCTTAGTTTTGGTTGCCATATGTTAGCATACTAAAAGTATTACGCCACAAAATCAAATACATTCCTTATGTTTTCGTATTTTCCCTACCATCCTTGTGCTTCACCGTAAAACCCCTATTACCACGTTTCCCGTAAGACAGGTGCCTCTGCTTGGTCGCTGACACTTGAGGCCTTCAGACTACCGTTGCCGTTTGGCATTTCCTAAACTTGCATTTCTTCATTGTCTTTTGAGTTGATGTTAATGTAACGGTTACGGAGACACTCCAACTGGTGTGGCTTTCGGTTTTACTGACTTTCCACCCCATGCCCTTATTCTTCGCTGGGCGGCGCTGACAGTCAAGTCACTTATGGCGTGACCATTTTACTTCGCTTCTCTCGGCTTGGACTTAGCACAGAATCGCATTATCGACCGTACTAGCCTGCTAAAGTGGTTGCACCTGTATAAGGACGTGTGCTGCCTTTTTACGCGTTTTCGTTCGTCTACAGTTTTCAGTCAATCATTGTACAGTGCCGTATTGGTCTTTTTTGCGTTCAGTTTCATTCATATTTTGCTGCAGCCACAGTTATCACGGTCGCCCCTGCAAGTGGAGTCAATTCCATTAGCGGGGTAACACTGTCTTTACCAGACATCTGGTCGAATGCACCTGAACTCTACTTCTTTTGCATTAAGTCGAGCTTTTACCATGCGAAAAGTACCAAAGAAGTCACAAAAGTCCACAGGTTGGTACAGGCTTTGACATAACAGTTTCTTTCTCAGGTACTGTCACTGATCCAGGGTCCCCAGATGACCAACCACACACGCTACTTAAGGCAGCGCTTCTCCGACCTAATGCTGTGTCTGATCGCCAACAGAATCAACAGCCGACCCGCGAGGGGTGCTTGGGTGACCGAAAACCCACCTAACTCCTTCGAAGGGTGCAGGGACTTCGTGAAGATCCTCACATCGACGATAAGCTTTTCAAGGGCATCTTCCTGGAGCAGCTTCCAGCCGATGTTTAAACCATTCTGGCATCTAGCTCAGAAGATCTCTCAGTCTCACGACTGACCGAAAGTGCGGACATATTGCTGGAGGTGCAGTGGTTCCAATCGCCCTCTGTCGCCTAGCTCTCCACTTCCTCGTTACCGACTCCACTTGGGGAGACTTAGACGCAGATAGCGGACATGGCAGAAGATATGACGTCCTTAAAACTCCATCTTGCGGGTCTAACCTTTAGTCTTTCATTTATCCGTCGTCGTTCCCGATTGAGACCTATAACAGCCGATATTTATTGGTATCATACCAATTTCGGTGCGAAGGCTCGTCGATGTTCCTCCCCCTGTTCGTTCAATTTCAAGCAGTGAAACCAGTCAGCCAGAGAAGAGGGACGACCGTTTTCCTGGCTCTTCCGGCTCTAGTCGCACCTTCTGTGTCTGCAACAGTGCAACACGCAGGCCTTTCCTGGTGGCCACCGGAGCCAAAATCAGTATCGTACTTCCTACTCTAACGTATTGTCACTTCCCCAGCCCGAGCCTTCACCTCCGAGCTGCCAACTGCTCCCCCATTCCCAATTTTGGCAGCTTATCTCTCATCCTAAACATTGGCCGTCGTCGGTCGTTCTCCTGGAGCTTGTAATTGCTGATGTCACTCATGCAATCCTCGGCTCGCACTTTCTTGCCGAGTTCGATCTCCTTGCTTATTGCCGACGTTCCCGTCTCCAAGTTCGAATAGCTGGTCTGTGTGTTCGCGCAAAAATCTCCCTTAACTACCTCACCAACTCATCTGTTCTGGATACAGATGTTGCTTATCCCTATCGATAGCTGCCCCTTCAACACCCAAACGTTACCAACCCACAGTTTCGCACTGGCGAAGTCCAGTATGACGTTGTCGCACATTAGGTTCTCCTGTGTTCGCTCGGCCTAGACGACTGGCGCCTACCCGCCTGTGGTTTGCGAAGGCAGAGTTTGAGCATATTCTGAAACTAGGAATAATCTGACTGTCCAAAGCCCTCCGGCATTCCCTCTACACATGATACCTAAGGTGATATCTGCGGCCGAAGACCCTGTGACGACTGTCATACATTCAATTATACCACTATTCCTGATCGATACCCTGTGCCTCATCTTCAAGACTTCGTCGGAGCCCCTTTTGGCAAAACTGCTTCCTTTAAGATTGATCTGGTGCGTGCCCTTCATCGAATTCCAGTGACCACTGACGGCACCCCAAAAACCGTCCTCACCACACCCTTCCACCTGTTGAAATTCATCTGCATGTCCATCGGTCTTTGTACTGCTTCCCAAACTTCCCAGGTGGTTCATTGGCCATGCCTTGCTCGGCCTACCGTTTGTGTGCGCCTGCATTGATGATCTGTTTGTGGTCAGCCAGAATGCCGAGGAACGCAGAAACTTGACCATTTGTTTGACCGCCCAGACTAGTTTGGTATTACCACAGACCCCTCCACGTGCGTTCTGACTGTGCTTTTTCTTAAATTCCTCTGTCATCATGTCGAATCTGAAGGTTTTTGTCTTTTCGTCCTCCAAGAACAAAACAATTCGTGATTTTCATCCACCAACCTCCAAGTGTCATTCGCAGCGATTCCTTTGCATGGTCAAATTTTACCGCCGGTTCCTACCGAACTGTGTTAACCTCATGATGCTGCTCAATAACTTGCTTACTGGTCCCAAAGGCCTCCTCGGGCTGACTAGTGGGGCACGACTGCTCTTGAGGAAATCAAGAATTCTCTTGCCGACACCAGCTTGCTTACGCATCCCGATCTCGAAGCTGAGCTGTCCCTGACGATAGATGCTTCGACCGTAGCCATAAGAACAGTCCTTCAATAACACCCTGTTGTCTTGACTCGACCACTAGCCTATTTCTCCAGAAGGCTTTTGCCGGCAAAGATCCGTCAGAACACCTTTGGCAGTTAACTACTTGCAACTTACCTTGCTGTGAAGCATTTCCGACATTTCCTTGAATGTCAGGACTTCACCGTTTTCGCGGAACACAAACCGCTGACTTTTGCTCTTCTCTCCCACTCCGACAAGTACAATGCGAGAGAAATCGCCCACATGCGCTGCATCTCCCAATTCACCACCGACATCCGCCACATTGATGGCACGAAGAATGAGATGACTGACATGTTGTCCAGGTACTTATTGTCTTCTCCCCATCTCTCACACGGAATCGACCTTGGCACCACGGCGGCTGAGCAAAAACGAGTCGGTTGTCCTCTCGATGATTCCGTTAGTGGTCTCCAACTCATAGACGTTCCCCCGACCACCGGTACTGGTACCATACTTTGCGCCGTTTCGACTCCATCTCATCGCCTTTTCATACCCGTCTCGATACGTCAATCTGTGTTTCAAATCCTGCATGGACTCTCCCACCCTGGGATCTGAGTCTGACAAAAGCTCCTCGCGTAAAGGTTAGTCTGGTGTGGCATGAAAAAGGACGCCAAAGCTTGGACTCCGTTGTGTCCAAGTTGCTAGCCAAACAAGGTGCGGCGTCACAACAAGTCCTTGCCTGGGACTTTCTCCAACCACGACGCACGGTTTGGCCACATGCAGCTCGATGTCGCTGGCCCTTTGCTTCGATCCAATGATTTCGCTCACCTCCTTACCTGCGTCGATCGGCACATCCGTGCGGCTGGCGCCATCTCATCGCCAAATGATGAGGTGAACACCATTTTCAAGGCCTCTCTCAATTGTGAGATTGCCGTTTTTGGTGTCTCATCCACGGTTAAGTCTGATCAATGAGCCCAGTTCGAGTCTGCCCCTTTCCAAACCCTCCTCAACGTTCCTGGCTGCAAGAGCATTCTGAAGACGGCTCACAATCCAGCTGCCAACGTCATAGTTGAGGTCTTCCACCGTCAGCCAAACACCGCCCTGCGTGCCACGGAGTACCCATCCAACTGGTCTAATAACCTGTTCACTGTACTCCTTGGCAATCGTTCGGCACTGAAGTCGGATCTAGATTGTAGCATCGTCGAATTGGTGTTTAGCACTACTTTCGGACTGCCTGGCGAGATGGTTACCCCAACCTCTCATGGTGCTGACGAGAGCCTTGACAATTTTGTTTATCGTTCGTGGCAATTCATGCTCGCACTTTCCAAGTTCCGCCTCGAAGTCCACCGACTGAGTTTTTTGTTTAAAAGGCTTGGCCAACTGCACCCGAGTGTTTGTTCGGAGGGCTGGTGTCCAAAAGCCGCTGAAGTCACCCTACCAAGGACCGATCCGCGTGCTCTCACTCAGTGCTAAAACCGGCCGCGCCCATCGTGGTGACAAGGAGGACATAGTCAGTGTCGATCGGGTCAAGGCTGCTGTTGCAGAGGGGCCGTCGGACCTGGTCCATGGACAACACTGCGCTAACCTCCTCTTCCCGTGATCCTTCATCTCCCCTATCCCATATTCCCCCCTATTCCATGCGTACCTTGCTAACCCTCCCCTACCCCACTTCGCCCTACCGCCCCAAACACAAACTCCTCAAATTCCGCTGGCATTCGCAACATTCGTAGCGGCCTTCGAGTCTGCTTTCCTGCCCGCCTTACCACTCAAGTGTTTTAACATCGCATTTGCCTTCGGCGTCCTTTGTAAGTTGACCTTCGGCCTTAACTCGGAGTACTGTGACAGCCCTTTGCTCCTAGTCTAAGCATAACAGAAGAAGGCAGGCTTTTAAGAAAACACAGACGTCCATTGCGAACACGTCCGGTACTTTTGCACACTGGGCTATCAAAAGTGACTGAACCGTAATTACCATATCGCTGAGCAGATGCGTCTTTAACTGAGGGGTTGATTGTGGTTTGCTTATACTAATTAAACGCATTTACGGTTTGACGTCCCCCCCCTAGTTTGGCCTCTCGAGGCTGAGGTAGAAATGCCAGGATACCTGAGTATAAGACATCTGGTGTCGAAATATTTTCTTAAGCCGGACGTACTAACTGCCGCTCTGTGTCTGTTAGCTTAAATACCCGCCGTTTCATTTATATGACGGTCCCGTATCTAATATCAAGCGTATACGTAAAATCGTCCGCACAGAAAACCAGAGTGAATTTTTAGAGAATTCCATAGTGGTTTCCTCACTGCAGGCTAATAAGGTTTCACTGAGCTCCAAAAGTTTATTTACCTCCTCATACCTCTAATTGTGCTTTGTATACGTCCGAATTCCACTCTGTACGGCTGGTGCACAAAGACTAATCTACCACCTCTTCTGCCTGCTAAAGAGTATCGGGAAAGGTGCAATATAACTTTACACGTTTGAAAACGACAGCAATTAGGCATGATTGAGTGGCTAACCTCAAATGAAAAAAAAACTTTATTTAGGCATGATGAGTGCACAAAAAGCATTTTTTGCGCAATAAATTTTAAGTTCGATCGTTTCTATGGAGGGTAGCTCAAAGCGATGCTTCCAGACAAAAACGGAAAGTTTCATCTAAAATTGAAAAGGGAAGATATTATATACTGTTTTACGGTCTTCAGGAAAATGGGCTTTTCAAGTATATATGAGGACCGAGGAATTAAAAATGACAGAACATGAAGGGCTTTGGTTTAGAATGCGTTTTGAAGTCTTTTCGTTTAAGGACACAGGAACTCTACTGAAGTACTGTTGAATGCTGTCAAATTAATGCATTAATGATAATAACGTTGCGATTGTTTTCAGAGCACCATTATACGAAAGGGATTTGTTGAGGGTTATCTGCCTAGCTGACGACCTAAGTTGCAAATAGGAAGTGCCGCCGTTCATTAGCGGTCTATTATAAGTTTAGGGCAAAACCATCGTTATATAGTTTATGGGTTATTGCATAACCTTGCTCCTGCTTCCTTTGTGGAATTGCAAAGTCACACTCGCTGCATGCCGTACACCAAACAAGACTCCTCCAGTTGGTTTGCTCACCATCTATCTTCTCTGTATGCTACCTCGACATAAACTGATTCAAAGCTCTAACCAGGGAATTCGAAGGTCACGCGGTTAGTTTGAGTTCGGAGACTCCTTTCTCTGTCCGTTGGTCCTTTCCCCAATTTGACACAATTAGTTCCTACCCGGTAGCCAAGGGGTCGTATCCTATGCTGCTGGATGGTCTCAACGGTTATCATCATTTAAACCTTTAGTGTCGATTTGGTTTTCTGAATAACTCAATTTTCTTCCGATCGACTGACGTACCCTTCTGCGTAAGGAGTACTTCTCCATAGTGCGGGTTAGATGGCTTGTACTGTTTCACTTTTTCGGGAGTGCTGAATCTACTTAGAGAATATCTACGAGTGACCTTGATTTATAATAAGCAGCAATTTCAAATGGATAATTTCTCCTCATAAGTTTTGTATGAAAGGTAAAACACAGAGTGAGAACACTCCTCGGGGGTCCATCTTATTCTTACAGCACTGCATGATGATTTCATTTTCCGTACTATAATTACATATACTTCCCGAACAAGAATATTATCCAGGCGCGACACTTTCACAAGAAACAGAAGTTACCTAAGTAGATGCCAGATCCAAACATGACAAGAATAAAGGCTGCTTACATCGCGCACAATAGGTCGCATGCTGCTCTTTGATAACAGGCCGAGCCTCCACGAGCAAGGTCCTCCTTTGTGCAACGGACACATTCTCCGTCTTCACATTTGAACCGACAAACTTCCGAATTCAATAAAATTGTTTAAAATTACGAGAGAAAAAATGGCTTCGTAGTAATTTTCACAAAATGCATAATGCTAAAGTAGCTGAGGGGAATATTCCGTGCTTAGTCCATTATGAGTGCCAGATAGGGCAGAAGGATTGAAAAAAACCATGATAGCATAGAGGCGGAGAGTCAGGTGAAAAGCTATAATAAATAAACAGGAAGAAACAGCATAAATTAAAAGAAAAAAGGGGAGAAATCGTGCAGAAATTCATCGCGAAAAGCGCACAAGAGAAAAGGGAGAAAAAAAATAATAAAAAAAGGACGCAGAAAGGCCGAAAAAAAACAAAGAAAACGCAAACAAAAAGACATGAAATAATCTCCAAGGATAACAAAAAAATAACAAAAAAATAAAAAATAAGCACGAGAAATTTAAAAGGCAACGAAGGAATACGGAAAAAAAAGAACAAAAAAGGGAGAAAAAAATGTGCAAAATGTCGACCAAAAAAATAACTGAATAAAAGAAACACATTACACAAAACGCGAAAAAAAGAGAACAAAAGAACCGAGAAAAAAAAGAAAGAGGAATAATGAAAAGCAACAAATTAAAAAAACAGAGAAGAAGAATGCACTTGCATGCTTACCTTCGGTCGTTGCCTCCTCCGTCTCAGCCTCCTCCTCTGGTGTCGTGCCTAAATGCAAATGGACAGACATGAAGTAAGCGCGCTTCTGTTTGGACATATGTATATACATGGCCATTTAGGTATCTACGTAGGTATGCATGATGCTAGCATTAGATGCATGTCTACAGTCTACAGTGAAGGTATGCGGCATAACCAATGCACTCCTCCTGCACCTGAGCCTACAATGTGGCGGCGTGCTGTGAGGAAAGTGTCCGAATTGCTTACTCACCTTCTGTTTCACCACCGACCACAGTTGTGGACTCCGTTACTCCTTCTGACTGGCCAACTGCAAAATAAGATGCAGAAGAAAGAATCTCCTTCAGGCACATTGGCCAAACACCAAGTTCACACAGGAAGCACTGACATATTATGTACAGCCACTGCCTGCGCACCAACAGGACTGCGCAAATTGCATGTCATGTGCATTCAGGTCTCTGGCCTGCCCAACTACCACCACCTACGCCGCCGCCGCCGCTGCCGCATGAGGAGCAGCTGCAAGGCTGGCGACTGGCCAATGTCGGCTGGGGGGGCTGGTGTAGCCGCAGTACTAGTATATGCAGGAGCAGATGTTGTAGTGGTGGCAGTAGTAGTAGTAGTAGTGCTGGTATTGGTGCTGCAGCATATGGAGTAAAATTTGTAGTAGCAGTCTGAGGGGTTGGATGAGGATATGTGTGTGTATGTATATATGTGAGGTTGATGCAAGCATGGCTGAGAGCCTTCCTACAGATGAGGAGTTGGCCGGCCAAGCACATGCGTGCGGCGCGCGTTGGCGTTGGCGGCGACGGAGAGTGGCATGAGGAAGAGGGTTAGGCAGATGCGCCCCTACCTCATCGCACTACGTACTTCCAGTGCTGCAGGCTGCCGGCTGCAGGCTGCAGAGGAAGCAAGAAGCCTCATGCATGCCTACATGCCTACAGTCAGTGGCACAATCTTGCACTTGCATGCTTACCTTCGGTCGTTGCCTCCCCCGTCTCAGCCTCCTCCTCTGGTGTCGTGCCTAAATGCAAATGGACAGACATGCAGTAAGCGCGCTTCTGTTTGGACATATGTATATACATGGCTATTTAGGTATCTACGTAGGTATGCATCTTGCTAGCATTAGATGCATGTCTACAGTCTACAGTGAAGGTAGGCGGCATAACCTATACACCAATGCCCTCCTCCTGCACCTGAGCCTGCAATGTGGCGGCGTGCTATGAGGAAAGTGTCCGAATTGCTTACTCACCTTCTGTTTCACCACCGACCAGAGTTGTGGACTCCGTTTCTCCTTCTGACTGGCCAACTGCAAAATAAGATGCAGAAGAAAGCATCTCCTTCAGGCACATTGGCCAAACACCAAGTTCACACAGGAAGCACTGACATATTATGTACAGCCACAGCCTGCGCACCAACAGGTCTGCGCAACTTGAATGTCATATGCATTCAGGTCTCTGGCCTGCCCACATACCACCACCACCACCGCCGCCGCCGCCGCCGCCGCCGCCGCCGCCGCCGCCGCCGCCGCCGCCGCCGCATGAGTAGTAGCTGCAAGGCTGGCGACTGGCCAATGTCGGCTGGGGGGGCTGGTGTAGCCGCAGTACTAGTATATGCAGGAGCAGATGTTGTAGTGGTGGCAATAGTAGTAGTAGTAGTAGTAGTAGTAGTAGTAGTAGTAGTAGTAGTAGTAGTAGTAGTAGTAGTACTGGTATTGGTGTTGCAGCATATGGAGTAGGATTTGTAGTAGCAGGCTGAGGGGTTGGATGAGGATATGTGTGTGTATGTATATATGTGAGGTTGATGCAAGCATGGCTGAGAGCCTTCCTACATATGAGGAGTTGGCCGGCCAAGCACATGCGTGCGGCGCTCGTTGGCGTTGGCGGCGACGGAGAGTGGCATGAGGAAGAGGGTTATGCACATGCGCCCCTACCTCATCGCACTACGTACTTCCAGTGCTACAGGCTGCAGGTTGCTGGCTGCAGAGTAAGCAAGAAGCCTCATGCATGCCTACATGCCTACAGTCAGTGGCACAATCTTGCACTTGCATGCTTACCTTCGGTCGTTGCCTCCTCCGTCTCAGCCTCCTCCTCTGGTGTCGTGCCTAAATGCAAA